CGGAAGTCCAACCTGAGGAGTGAATGATCTGACCATGACAGGGGCTCTATCACTACGTCCCCCTTTTCCAGATCATTCTGCCACTGGCCAGAGACAAAAATTAGATCTAGTGTGTGTCCCCCCGTGTGAGTTGGGGCATGAACTAATTGGGTCAAGTCCAGGGCCGTCATGGAGGCCAAGAACTCCCGAGCCGCCGCCGCCATTTCGCCCGCCGATGGCAGATTGAAATCCCCCATGACTATAAGTCTGGGGGTCTCAGCTGCCACCCCGGCTATCATGTCGGCCAGCTCAGGCAGGGCTGTTGATACATAGCAGGGAGCCAGGTATATAATCAACAGGCCCACTTGCACCCCCTGCCCCCACTTCACAAGGAGGGACTCACCACCGTCTATCTGAGGCACAGTGGTCTCCCTTGGGCCCAGGTTCTCCCGTATAATGACCGCTACCCCACCGCCCCTACCCCGGGTCCTTGGCTGATGGAATACCTGGAAACCCGGGTCCTTGGCTGATGGAATACCTGGAAAGCCTAAGAAGTATTTTATAAAGTAGAAACAATAAGCAAACACAAATGGCTAACAGGTTCCAACTCAGAATTCAGAAGAAGCAAACCAGGTTTGTACAATTACAGTAGCCTTACTTTCCTTTCTGTGTCTGGGATTCAGGACTGATTCAGATATATTGATAAGCCAAGGTTCCTTCCTTCCTTCCCTCCCTCCCTTACAGGATTAATTCAAATGATTCTTTGATGATACTAATGAAAGGGAAAATTATGGTTTGCCTCAAATTAGGAATGAAGGAAGGTAATTATTGCATATCTTGGGTAGATTATGTATTTGCCCAGAAAATCCTTGAAGACTTCACATCATGTCTGTTATGTATATTTTTCCCTCAAGGGCCTGTAACTTTTATCAATTTTATTACATAGAAATTCTATAGGTGAATCTTCCCTAATAAAAATATTGCAGGACTGTTATATGCCTGCCAGACAAAAAAAGAGCAACTACATTTCAATAATGCAGAGGATGACTGGCCATATGCTACATTTATACAAATTGACTCCTTGCCATTCAGTTTGGTGGAATAAAGCCAGTCCCACAAGCAGTTTTAACTAGAATTTGGCACAAGTCTTCTGCTATAAAATATCAAGAATGGTCAGAGCTGTCTCTGTCTTGGTTTTCAGGAAAAAAGAAAAGGAAAAAAAATGCTCTATTTGATGAGTTGCTGCGGTAGCAAACAAGTCAGTCGGATTTGAAACACAGCCAAGCATCATCACTCCTAATGGTGGATCAAGACTGCTAATGAAGTCAGGATGTTGCACAGTCTGAGACCTATAAGTGAGCTAGCAAGAACTTTGGTGCCAGATGCATCATGGAGTTATAGTGCAACGCTTTATAATGATATCCATTCAATTGTGTCTGATTCTTGGTGATTCTATGGACCCGTTCTTCACATTTTCTGATCTTGTAAAACTTCTTTCTGTTGTTTTATGCTCTTGCTGATGTTGGCTTTGGTGGTGTCTAGCCACCACGGTTTCTGGCGGCTTCATTTCCTTTTACAGCTGTCCATTCTAAGCATAGCCATCTTCTCTACCAATTCCTTTTTAGCGATGTTTATTCTAAATTACAAATGTAACAGCAAATACTAATTTGCCCTATGGAGCTGTTACCACAGTGTTAAGACCAGACACATTCATGTTTTAGGCACTGAGGTGTTTCCTGTCCCAGATTTTGGATATTACCACTTTCAGATAAGAGGATGAGAAATGAGCTAATAAGAAGCTACTGTAGTTCCTGACTAATCTTTCTTTCAAGGCTTTGATTGGTTATAACTGCAATTCCTGAGACAGATACAATCTTACAGAACCAGTATAAATATGTCTGTAACACAACTTTATTCATCCAAGTTGCTTGGATCACACACTTCATTAATTTTGACATTCCACCAAACAGCAGTACTATTTATATATCATTACATGGATACTAGACTAAACTGGTTAATGCACAGTGAGTTCTAAGAGTTTCAGGCAATGAGATTTTGATAATAATACATAATAATTATGTTTAAGAAGCTGATCCTGCAGTGAAGCTACAAGGGAAAACCATTTTTCTTAATATGCATTATCTTGTTTAGACAGTTCTTATCTAAATGCTATCTTACACATTTTGCTTTGTAAGAGTGTCAATAGTTTGTTCAAATTTAGCCATATTCTTGCCACTCATAAAATGCAATCTTAGGGAGGTTAATTCAGATTTATTTGCTTGCTTTGTTCATTTTAAAATTGTATGTCAATTTTCAAAACCAAGTTTTTCCATTTTATTGGGTCTGATTGCCGGATAAATGTGTTTCTGATTATAGCTTCCATGTGGTATCACTTTATAAGTACCTAGAGNGAATCTTAGCGTACCTTATATTCTTGGAAGTTGAAGGTCATTCTTTGTTTATATTGTTGCTCTCCTTTCTTTTTCTTTATACCTTTTTGCACTTCTATCCTTATTCTGTTCTTACTTTATACACCTTTTCTTTTGTTAATTTATGTTGTCTTTTACATGTAAAATTTAATAAAATTATAAGACGGGACATAAAAAAGAGGTAGGGCTTACATTGCTTTCATGTTGTTTTCAGGTAAAAGTGGAATTTCCAAGACTTTGGTGTTGGAAAGTATGGTTTCGTGGCTGGTTGTGGAAACAGTCTTCCCTGTAATCCGATGAACTTGATAGAAGGCATGGGGCCGCAGCAGGCGGTCATCTGCAGTCCCAATGAACAGCTGTAGTGTGAGTGGTTCACTTTCTAAGTAACCATGTAGCTGTAAAGAGAATATAAAAAGTTCTTGCTGAGCACCATATACATCAACAACTAGGAATTTATTAATGTTTTATACAAAAGGCAGTCTAATTGAAGGAGAAAACCAGTGATAGGGCTAACTTTTAATCTCTCCTCACCTACCCACATTAGGATGCATTCATTTTCTATTTTTTTGTGTAATATAATATTGGACCAATACAGGTAGTTCTCAACTTACAACCATTTGTTTAGTGATCATTTGAAGTTACGACATTGAAAAAAGTGACTTATGACCATTTTTCACACTTACAACGGTTGCAGCATCCCCATGATCACGTGATCAAGATTCAGACATTTGGCAACTGGCTCATATTTTTGACGGTTGTAGTGTCCTGGAGTCATGTGATCCCCTTTTGCGACCTTTTGACAAGCAAAGTCAATGGGGAAGCCAAATTCATTTAACAACCATGTTACTAACTTAACAACTGCAGTGATTAGTTAACAACTGTGACAAGAAAGGTTGCAAAATGGGGCAAACTCATTTAACATCTGTCTCACTTAACGACAGAAATTGTGGTCGTAAGTCGAGGGCTATTTGGAGAGAGGTGCGCTTAGGGAATGTCTCATTATTTTACATGACCTAGAGCATTTCATTGAGGCTTTTAACAATGCTGCTTCAAATTGCCAATAATGTCATAGAAGACTTTTTAATGGAAAAGACAGAAAGATAGAAAAATCAGTTTAAAACAACAGAATCTGTATTTTATCTACAAAAGCCCAGGTTCAGGCATTGCAGTAATTCGAACCTCTGTTTCATCTCTCTTGCAGGTTTTCAACTATCGATGGCCAAACTCATAACAAGTAGCATAATATATCAAGGAATTTGCATAAAGGAGACAGGCAGATGCAGATAATTCTAAATTTGCACCACATTTTTAGATATCCAAGCATTAGATCCTATTGGATCCAATACTAAAGACTTCTTTGCATTACCTGACTATTTTTAAACTGTTATTTTAAACCCCATTCAGGCTTTTTGCATACTGCATATTCTGTGTAATAATCAGAGGCACCATTTTAACTGAGCTTATACAGCTGTTGCTTACCTTTTTCAACTGCAACTTTAAAGAAAGAGAAAAGCACCAGCCAGAGCCTCATAGTGATAACATATGGGATGCTTAAACATAACAAATGAAAACAAGAGATTGGACGAGACAGGGACGAGGGAAACCTCAGCTAAGTAGTTCAATCTGCACTAGTGTCTGGCTACCTCTTGGCACGCCGTATTACAGGAGCTCCTGATATGCACACAGCTGAGATCTGCCAAAAGAAGCCTTCTGTTGCATGCAGAAGCCCATTAAAGCTGGCACATTTGGCACTATTTTCACTTACATTTATAAAATGCCTGAGCTAGCAAAATATCACAAAAGTGAAGTTATAGTGAAACAAAGGCATCTAGCTTCAGAGGTGTATCAGCCACCTTTTGGTGGGATGGTGTACGGAGAAAACAAGAGTCGTGGTTTTTGGAAGTGACTTCCTGGTTAGTATAAAGATTATTTAGGGGACAAAACTTAAAAACATAATTTCGTTGTGAGTTTACACAATGACAATAAAGATATTCTATTCTAAAAACAGTCTTAGGAAATCTTTCTCACGTACCTACAGCCCATCTTCCATTGGTTTGGAAAGCCAGAATGCAATCAAACACTGACAGTGCAGAAAGCCAAAAGAATATAACAACATCTCTGCTGGCCTGATAATGCCAGACATGTGACTACTCCTACTTAATTCAATAGGACCTATTCCCAGGTATGACTAGGACAGCAGCTTAGAGATGCCTTCCCCAACCAGGTGTTTTTCAGAAGTTCTTGGACTGAAACTCCCGCCGTTTCTAAAAGCAAGATTTAAGTTTAGGAGTTACAATCCCAGCACATTTGTAGAATGACATCTCAAGAGGGAAACTGGCTTAAAACATAGAACTGGAGTCAATCAACAGGCAAGCTTGCGTTGTGTTTGGTTCTGCCTCTTTCTTATCTGGGCTTAATAGGAAAAAGGATGGATGAGCTTTTACTCTCTGAAGCATCCAACAAGGATGTCACTTCCTTGGCATCCGCCTAAAACCAAAAGTAATTCCTATTGCAAGCATGATTCTTAGTGTCTCTTTACCAAGACTTATTAAGGAGAAAAGGACAGGTTTACAAATAATTCTGGCAACTGAACTATTTCCTATCTACAACCAGTATATCACAATACATTAGAGAAGAAACTTCCTCATCTTTCCTTTTTATTTTTACTGCCTTTCTGTGAACTGATAGGTAGGTCTCTTCCCTAGTTCTGAAGGAGCTTATAGATAGTTGTATATAAAGCCATTTTCTGAATCCTCATGAGTCTGGCTGCTGATTACAACATTGGTATCTTCTGAAAGTATAGAATAGAATAGAGCTGGAAGGGACCATGGAGGTCTTCTAGTCCAGCCCCTGCTCAAGCAGGAGGACTTATACCAGTGATGATGAACCTTTTAGAGACCGAGTGCCCAAAACCTGGCCCCGCCCCCATTCTACCCCCTGCCCCACCCCTGCCCCGCCCCACCCCCACCCCATCCGCAGGGCCATTCACCGTCTCCAGGGCCCGCCGCAGATCGCCCAAGCAGCCCAGCAGTGCCATGGCGGCCACGCCCTCTGCCCCCCGCAGCATCAACTGTGCGCGATGGGGCATGAGAGCAGAGTCTTGTCTACGCTACCTGGCTGCCATATCCTTGGCTGCGCTGTTTCGCATGGGCCATGCTCGGGGGCGACTCTCCTTCAGGGGGGCTGCTAGTGAGGAGGGGATCATGGGGGAGGTGAGGCTGGGGCAATGGCATGTGTGCCCACAGAGAGGGCTCCGAGTGCCACCTCTGGCATGTGTGCCATAGGTTCGCCACCACTGACCTATACCATTTCAGACAAGTGACTGTCTAGTCTCTTCTTAAAAATTTCCAGTGATGGAGCGCCCACAATTTCTGAAGGTAAGCTGTTCCACTGGTTAATTGTCCTCACTATTAGGAAGTTTCTCCTTAATTCCAGGTTGCTTCTCTTTTTGATCAGTTTCAACCATTGTTTCTTGTCCTGCCTTCTGATGCTTTGGAGAATAATTTGATCTCCTCTTCTTTGTGGCAGCCTCTCAAATACTGAAATAGTGCTATCATGTCACCCTATTTCTTCTTTTCTTTAAACTAGCCAAACCCAATTCCTACAGCCATACTTCACATGTTTTAGTCTCCAGGCCTTTGATCATTTTAGTTGCTCTTCTCTGAATTTCCCCCCCCAAACACTCAATATCTTTTTTTTAGTATGGTGACCAAAATTGGTTGCAGTATTCCAGGTTTTATAAAGCGGTACTAATACTTCGCGTGATCTTGATTCTATGCCTCTGTTTATACAACCCAGGATTGTATTAGCTTTTTTGGCTGCTGCTGCACACTGCTGGCTCATATTCAAGTGATCATTCACTAGGACTCCAAAGTCCCTCTCACAGTTACTGTTTTTGAGCCAGGTCTTGCCTAATCTGTACTTATACCTTTGATTTTTCCTGCCTAAATGTAAAACTTTGCTTTTCCCCACATTAAAATTCATTTCATTGGATAGGGCCCATTGTTCAAATTTGTCAAGATCTTTTTGGATCCTAAGTTTGTCTTCTGGGGTACTGGCTATTCCTGCCAGCTTAGTGTCATCTGCAAATCTGATGAGTTCCCCTTCTATTGCCTCATCTAAGTCATTTATGAAGATATTGAAGAGTACTGGGCCAAAGACGGTACCTTCTGATACCCCTCTGCTTACTTCTCTCCTTGTGGATGTAGTACCATTGAGGACTACTCATTGAGTACGGTTTGTCAGCTAGCTACAAATCCATTTGGTGGTGAGGTTGTCTATTCCGCCTCTTTCTGGCTTACCAAGAAGTAGGTTTTGATCTACTTTGTCAAATGCCTTACTGAAATCTAAGTATACTACATCAACAGTATGAACTTCAGTTCCCGGAATTCACTCTTATTCATTATTAGGGTGCTCAACAAGTGGGCCACATTTATGACCATTTGCAGCATTCTGTGTTTTACATTGGTTCTGCTGAAAACTGGCATTTATTTCCATTGGTTTGCTTAATGATTATCATAAAAAAGGTTGTAAAATAATGTTGGTCACGTGACCAACCTGTTTTATTACTGTCATTAATTACCTTGACGCACAGGCTCCATTACAGTTGTAACGAGTATTACATGTTCATTTTATTTTTTTATAAAATTGAATTGTTGTGATTCTTTTAAGGATCCTAATACTGCAGATGCCTTGCACTGCTGATATTATCTGATTGTGTAATGAAACATCTGCAAGCAAACAACCAAGCTCAGAGAGGATCAAGAACTCCACATTTCAATCTTGAGATATTTGCTTCTATGGGAACTTTGGATGTTGCTAAAGAATTCAGGCTACAACATGTTTCAGCTGTATATATTGCCAAATTAACGTTATAAAGAGTCATATTCAAAACTCAATCTCTCAAGGTCTTTAAAGGAACCAACAGAAATCAGATGATTCAAACTCGTTTCCTTGTTTGCATCAAGCATCCAATATATATTTGTCCCTATTAATTTCAAATGTGAGATATTCCACAGCAATTAATTTCTCACTGATTCCAGATGAAAATGTAATCACTGACCTATCCATTACCAAATCTGCCTGGCAGTTTTCCAGACTGAAAACAAAGATCTCTGTTTAGTATATCTGGATTTTAAAATTTTCTATGATTTCAGAAGTGTAAAGAGAATATTCATAGAAGGTCTTGTTCAAAAGAATATAGATACTAAAATAAAAGCCCACTATAATCGTAATGTGATCTCAACTTGTTAAGTTGAGGGGCTTTAACTTGGTAGAGACCTCCTCATTAACATCTCTGTATGAAGTATATAATAGGGATTAAGAGTGGAATCCCTCGTAAAATATATTTATCTTGAGGTAATATTCTTTTTAATAACAATAATCTCTGAGAAAT